GGTACACCTGAGCAGGGATCGGCACGTTGTACGTTCTTGGTAAACTGTGGCTTCTGTGACTGACACACTCCCTGTAGGGCTCAAACCTTGCCTAGTGGTGCAGAACCCCAGCCTCCTTGCCGCAGTGACCGGGAGCCCAGCCTCCTCTGAAAGAACAAGGCTGTTTATTCCAGCTGGGCCCGGCATCCCCTGCGGGTGTCATCCTATCACGTTCCTTCCTGCTGCTCTAATCTGCATACACTGCCTCCTCCCCTCTCGCCGACCTTTCCACGTCCCAGTTCCTTACCAAGCCATTTAGAATTTACATGGAACTTGTCTATCATACACGTCAAGGCTTTGTCTTGAGCTCGGAGCCAGAGGTAAAAACGTGAAATGCCCAATAAATGTTTTATTTCTGTCTTTTCCCCTAAACCTAACGTATGTGATTCTAGCGTCGAAGGTGAGCAGACCTGCTGCAGAGAAAACTGAGGAAGGCACGGTGAGCAAAATGGTGTGAAGGTTTCTGCTTCTGTCCTGGTTTTAAAAGGAGTCCAATGCATTTCGGACATGATAGTAACTGTAATGATAACAAGTCCTTGATGATACTTTAATAAAAATGTATCATTTAGAGCCAGGGATTTAGCTCAGTGGTTCCACCGCCTGCTTTGCAAACACAAGTGCCTGCGTTCAATGCCCGGTGCCAAAAAAAAAAGTATCACTTATTCTAAAGCAAAACAAAATGGTAAGTTATTTTTTCTCCTTGCCATACTCTTAAAATGTATATAGAAAATCCCCAGCCAGAACATTTCACTGTCTTGAATCTCTCCTCCATATTTATAAACCAACTTTAAGGAAAAAAAAAAAAAAAACATGGTAGGGAAGCCACAAGGAGTCACACTGCAGTTGCAAAGTCACAGAATTTGAAAGAGCACCTTAGAGATCCCAGCTGATCACAGTACTTTCTCTAGGCCAGTGCGCAGAGAGCTTCCTTAAGGGCCAGACATACGCAACATCACCCCTGCTCTGCCTTCGTGGCACCCAAGCAGCCATAGGCAACACAGGAACAAGCAGGCTCAGCCACAATTCTGTATGATACTGAAATTTTATTTCCATTAAAGGTTCATGGGTCACTAAATATGGTTTTTCCACCTACTCAGAAATGTAAAACATGTTTAACTCATGTATGATTGAAATTTTACTTCCATTGAAGGTTCATGGGTCACAAAAAATATGTTTTCCACCTACTCAGAAATGTAAAACATGTTTAACTCATAGTAGTATAAAAAGGCGTCAGGCTGGGTTTGGCCCATGGACCACCCTTTGTGGGTTCCTGCTCTGGAGTCTCAAGGTCATGCTTGAACCTGTGGAGAAAATAATTTCTATAAAACTTGTGGAAACTTAAGGAAGACTTTATTGGGAGAAGAGATTGGGCTCAACCCTGAATACAAAATCAAGAAAAACAAGAGTGGCCCTACAGCTAACAAGCAGGCTGAGTGGTCCGTGATGGAAAAGGGAGACATCAAGGATAGAGGTTAGTGCCTGTTCTGTCACCTTTGGGTTCTTGCTGAAGGTAGCAGGCCCAGGACCTGCACATCAGAGGCGGGCTGAGGAACCCACCCAATACTGAGCATGTGGTTCTCCGTAGAACCACATGAGTCAGCAGGAGTCCTGCTAAGTGGAGGCCCAGGAAGGAGCAGGCCCAGCATGGGGCCTGGTTAGAGAGATCCCAGCCTGTCCAAAGTTTGGCCCAGGAGGGAGCCTTTATCATACTACACCAGACACAGCCTCCTTACGAGTCACGGATACATGGCGTTTAGTCTGGTAAAAATCCACCTCAATATGGGGGAGAATTAATCACACAAGTCTGTTTTTGTTTGCTCGACTTGAAAAAACATGGCATCCTAAAGATGTCAAACTTTCACTGAAACTTATGCCAGTATTACCCATTAAAAATAACATCACCCATCACTTCTTTCCTCGCTGCAAACAATTAACAATTTATGAAGTAAGAAATAGTTGGCAGTTGTCTTCACAGATGAAGTCAATGCAGTCTCGATCCTTTGCCAAAAGGCAGGGAAACCAATTGCTGATGCTTCTTTTCCTGAGGCTACTCAAGGCCAGTCCAGTCCACGCAGAATGGCTAGGAAGACAGGCTTTGGCTTCACCAGGGATTTTTAACAGGAAATCTACACTACTTTTAAAAAAAATAAAGTAATTATTTTAAAAAAGAGCCTTGGCTTTTGTTCTTTTTACTGATACTCAAGTAGCAGTGCTCAAAACATTTTAAGTCTAGATGTCTCTATGGAAACCCAAGAAAACTTGTATTTTATGGCCTCAAGTTCTATCTCCTATTGGATCACCATAGGCCATCTGTGGTGTCAGAAATATCTTCGATCTATTTTTCTGAAATCCTATCAGTTATAATGAGATTTATAAAATGATTGCTTGTGCTGAGGAGAAGGACAAGAACTTATTCCTGAGGGTCCCTTCTAATTTTTATTAAGACAGTGCTGTTTAGAACATTCTTGTTAGAAAAATAATTTTGTGAATTTGGCATAGTAAAAAGGGGAAATGACTGGTTTTAAATCCGTATCATTAACTTTCCTTCCCTCCTTTCCATCAGTGTCAAATATATTTTCTTTGAAAAAAAATGAAACAGAAATGAACAGTTCCTCTCCCCACAGATAATTTATTGCAATGGAGAAGGGAAAAAAAGTAACTGTACAGTGAATCAACCTGACATCTTGACCAGGTGATCAAAATTAACAACCCCTGTACAGCCAGATGGCCTCTGTGTGAATCCAGATGCGACAGTCTGAGGAGAGCACAGGTCACCGAGCAGGCACAGCCTGGGTCTAATAATGAGGAAACACCAAGTAAGGTCAAAGCCAGGGCTGTTCTATTATTTAGAAGAAGAGCATGGCAAGCAGTAGGAACAAAAAAAGCACAGTGGCAGCAGAAGCAGAACGACGGTTATTAAAAAATGTCAGTGTGGATGAGGGTGTAGTGGTGCAGCGAAGGAGCACAAGATCAGTATGGCGGAGGCTCTGGGTTCAATCCCCGGCACTGCAATCAATCAATCAATCATCAATTAATCAATCAAGACAAAGACAAAGAAAGGCTGTGAAAATTTTCTAGATTAAAAGTAGCTAAGGATGCAAGGTAACTCAGTACAACACCTAACCCTAGGATGAATCTGACACTGTGTGGAGGAGAAAGAAATTCTCTATAGGGCATTAACAGGGCCAAGTGATAAAACTGCAGTATGAATGGTAGATTAAAGTATACCGATATAAGGTTTACTAAAATCACTAACTATACAGTGATTACATGAGAGTATCCTATGCTTATCAAATATCAAAGTTCTTCAGGGTAAAGGGCCATGAGGCATGATGTATACAACTTTACAAATGAAAAGTTTAAAGAAAAATGAACAGATCTTGCCTACACTGGAGTTCTTAGATATTCTCTCTCCACAATATTCCAAATACAACACAGGAAGAGATGCTTGGGCCAAATTAAAAGAGAAGTACAAAGATATTTTTAACATGATCCTTTATCAGCAATTGAAGCTTGCCAAATTGTGACATACCACCCATTCTCAGCAAAAATAAGCAAACACTGGCTACTTAGCAGTTTAGATGTAATTATTTTTCCGTAATTTCTCTTAACAGGGCAGTGACTCTAAAACTTTTTGTTTTTCACAACTTTCAGAACTGTATCATACACAAGGCAAGACTCTGAGCTGCTTTCCTAGGGATGCACTATCAGTGTCAATCAACTGAATGCAAGATTCTGAGCTGGGACATCTTCATATTTTATGTGGAAGCTGGGTCACCTCATCATAGATCCACAATTCCTGTGAAAATCAGACCCCGAATTCTGCAGACTTGATGTCTCTGATGCCCACAATAGCCCTGCTTTTGGAGATGTTGGCCCCTAACCTGCAAGACATCATCTAATCTGATTCCCACCTTCTGAGGGATGAAAGGAGTTATGTCTATGTCCAAAAATTTAGTATAGACTTTTCTAGAAGTCAGACACTACAGAGAAAGTTTAAAATGTGATAAACCAAGATCAAACTGTTCTGTCATGCTTAGGAATCAGGAAACACAACTCACTCATTGTCCAAAGGCAAAGCATAAGTATATTGCAAGGTCTTTTCCGTCCTTCCTGGTTTCTTGCTTTATCTGGATTTTTTTAGTAGTGACTGCTTCTGGGATAAAATACTCATACTTTACTTTTAGCTCTGTGTTTTCATCTTTGTCTCTTTCTTCATGCTTCCCCAATTTCAACCAATAATTTTATTTGACACATGTTTACCACCGGCACACGATGCTTAGCCACACTTATGGGTATACTCTACTGAGCACCAGTAGTTTACCCCTCCAGAGAATCCCCAGGAAAGTGATATGCAGACAAGAAATGCAGAAAACTGTAAGAATCCAGAGTGAATTATAACCAACTGCAAGAAAGAATAAACGAGTCAAGGCACTAAAATTTAATGAGAAGACAATTTTTAAAATAGGAAAAACTGGAGGCAAGGTGCCTGCAACATCATTGCAGATTTAAAATCATGCATATTCTTCTCCATAAAACTTTGCAAATGCAGTTAGAACATAAGCTTACAAAACCTAGCAATTATAAATCCTCTGAACCATGTAACTGTGATTAGCTGCTACTCTCAGCGATATAAAAATACTTCCACCACAATTACATTCCAGCCTGTAATTCAAAACAAACAAGTCAGAGACATCGCTCAAATGGCAGAATCAACAAATACAGATGCTTTGCATCAAGGAAATGAATCCACTAAAGAAATGCATCTGAGAGAAGGCTCTGCCTGCCAGGCCTGGCCCTGGACTTCTGGTGGAACAGCAAGGCCCCCTTCTGGGCAGGGACGCGCAGTGCAGCTCTGCAAAGCGGCCCTTCGCACCTTGGCCCTTACTGCAATCAGTGCTGCACCATCAAAAACTTCAGCTGCGGCCACCTTTGCCTGTGTTGTATTCGCAGTTTCAAATTTTAGATATTAAATGTAAAGCTTATTACCCATATTTTAAAGTAAATATTTTATTTCAGATCAAACTGATCAATATATTCTTCCAAGGAGCATTCCTACCACCAACTGGCATGCCCATCTCCACCCCAGACCCTTTTCTTTTTGCTGTAACTTTCAGCAATTTCCAGCACTTTCCAGCAAACTGTATAATCCGCTATATTCATCATCTGTTCCCCATGGCAGGGATACAAACTCCATGAGGACAGGCAGGATTCTTTGTTCCAGGGAATAAAGGGACTGTGGCACAAAATCATTGCTCAATAGTATAGAATTGTCCCATTTATGCCTTTGCCTCTTTAAGACTGTTTGGTCCACTTCAAAGAAGGCATAAATAGGGCTTTATTACAGCAATATGCTACAATTTAAAAATGACTTGTAAGCTCTTGTTTTAAAAGTAGTCATCCTCGTAAATGCCTTGTAAAAGCAAAAGATCTGTGCTAAGAACCATGGGATCATGGTCATATATACACAAACTCAGAAAATTTAGAAAGAAGCCAGGCTCCAGGGCCGAGGGGGAAATAGGAGCTGTAAAAACTGAGGCTACAGCTCAGAGAGGCCAGTCCTAGAGAACACATCTCACACCCTGTCCAGTCACAGAAAAGTAATGGATCTGGACACACACTGCCTGAAAGCCAGCATTTTCCTGGACCGGGCATAAAGCTGTGGCTGAAGGGCACGCACTGTTTCTAATTTCTGAAACCTCAAACCTTAATTTTTCCCCTTCTGAAAATGTGCTTTCAGCTTGGGGAAAAGCTAATAGTTGTTTACAATTGTCAGACATTTAAGAAGTGCTAATTTGTTCCTTTAACAGAGCAAATGATGAGAGTCACCATTTAACCACACAGTAACAACATATAAACATGATTCATTGATGTCAACAGCTTTCGGCCCAGGAATTTTGTCCAGGTCACTGTGAGGCATTGGTCTTGCATCAGACAAGTTCAGGATTTCTGACATTCCTTTTTCCGAACTTTTGATTTCGGTGCTGTGAAAAAGAAAGAAAGAAAATAATGAAGATGTAGGCTCGTGTCAGTTTCCCCTCATACTGATCTGTGCTAAGGGAGATACATTATATGCTGTAGGAGAACACTGACCATTTGGATTTTCCTGTTTGTAGAAGGCCTTCAACAGTTCCACTGCTTCCTCGGCCTGATATCCGGGAAGGCACTGATGAAACGAGAAAGGGGAGAATGAACGCAAGCCTATGAAAACGTGGGCTGAATCCTATAAACACAGTGATACGTACCTAACTGTGTGAGTAGATTTCAGACCATGCTCATTGCTTTGGAAATATGAGCGTAGATAAAGTACACTTCCAAAAGAGCAGACATTCAGCCTCAGGGAAACAACACCATTAATCTAGTCCTCAAGTAAGTGGCTGAATAATCTTGGGCCGGGTCCATAAACTCTCCATACCTTGTATGTACAGTGTAGAACTTACCTCCAGGGACGCTGTAAGGACTACGTGAAATAACACCTAACTTGTGCCTGGCATGTTATAGGTGCTAATAAACACTGCCCATTTTTATCTGCTGATATTTCCTGGTGGCCCATTAAGGGTTCAGTGAGGCACAGCCAGGGTAACAAATTATACTTGATAGAGCAAACCCAGTCCGCTGTGAGGAGGGGTGAGCAAAGAGTGGCTTTCATATTTTTAGAGGGTTAAAAAAGACTATAAGACACTGAGATAAGTGGCTCATAAAGGCTAAAATACTGACTAGCCCTTTACCGAAACAACAATAACAACAAAAACTTGTCCATTTTTGCTATTAAGGACTTTTTAAAAAAGGGTCTAGTTTGTCCTGTCTCTGGAATCCAACTGGAGAGAACAGAGCAAAACAATAAGCAATGGCAGTAGAAGGAAAGATATCATGAGAGATACTGCATGGAGAAGGGGAAAGCTGGACTTAGGGAACATTTACAGAGCCTAAGCAGTGTGTTTCGAGGAAAGAGTAAGCATACATAGGCTGTGACAGAAAACAGGCTGACCGGGCGGTGGTGCCGGTGGATGAATATGAAGGGAGCCTGAGGAGAGAATCAGAGATGGTGTCAGGAGTCTGAACCGACCCAGCACACCCTTCTGAGGAGCATGAACTGAGGTACCCGTCCTTCAGGACAGGTACAAGGAGGAAGGGGCTGGTCGACTACCTCCGAGACTGAAGGCCCAGTCATGTCTGCTCCTACCTGGGCCATAGGAGCCTCCACAGACCTTCCCGATGGTAACAATAACCCTCCTTCGACTTGCAAGGCTTCGCTTTCGTTCTCCTTTCCTCCTCCACCTCATCCTCGCTGTCACAGTCTCAAGTCTCCTCTGAAGCTGCCCTCTCCACAGCCCTGTGGCCCGGCCTCACCCACTCAGAACTCTGTCCTCCAACATCTTCTCTCACTACCTGACCACTCAGGGTCGGTCCCCTCGCTGCTGCTCTGGGCTTCCTGGGGTGTGCAGTGGCGCCCACCACGGCTTCTCCTTTGCTCTGGTGAGCATCTACATGCACACACGAAGCCCTCTCCTCCTACATGCAGTTAGAGCCATGGTTCTCCACCTTGGCTGCTCTGGAGAATCCCTTGGGAGCTCTCTACAAACAGTGGAGCCCCTCCTGTGCCTTGCCCTTCATTGGCCTAGGGCAGAGGCTGAGCACCCAGCAGCACAAACATTCTAATATGCCTTCAGGGAGGAGAACCGCTGAGTTACAAGTGCAGAAGGAAACTGTATTGCTCTAAAATACCATGGTGATACTTTCATGTACCCTTTATGGCTGCAATTTTACTTTTAATAAAAAGCACACATTCTTAATAGAATAAAAAAATTTTAACCAAAGCAGGCATTATAAATAAAACACCACATCCTTTGACAAGAAAAGGGTTACAGGTCTCCACTAGGAACTTTCATGCTGCTCATAGTATAGTACTAAAAGAATCTAAAATTCTAGAATAAAAAAAGACATCTCAGCTCTCTATTGTTTCCTATCCTCTGAAACCCAGACAAAGAAAGAAAATACAGAATCTAGAAGCCTGTAGGTGACTTTTTTAGAATCACAAAATACACTTGAAAAACATAATTTGGCAGCAAACCTAACCCTATGTCTTGAAGCCATGGCACTCACTTTCCCTTGAGCCAATGACGTGTGTGGTATGAAGTGTGAGTCAATGTTGTTTTGGTTCTGCCAGAGAGATGTGCAGAGATCTCTGAGAAAATACTGAGAAATGTTCCACCCATGTCTGACATCCAAGGGCTCATCTTCGTTCTGCCCAGAGACTGAGAAATTCTTTAGATCATTTTCATAAGAGAAGTCTTATATGGACTTAGCAATTCATTTCCAAAGAGTTATGTAAACAAAGTTTGAGCTACTCCTACAAGTGATTGGGAAAAATCAAATCAGGACGCAGATGTATTTCATGATCAAGCTAATTGCATCATTAACTCTACCATTCCACTGTGATTTCTGGCTGATGTGATGTTAAAGGCATCTATTCTTAAATGTAAAGCATTTACTCGGAAAGCCAATGTTGAGAGAAAAATTCAAGACAGAACATTTTATAAAATATGTTCTCAATGGGATTGAGCTAAATTTAGCCTTTTATAAGTCCTCATCATAGTTTAATAAATAGTGGGGTCCATGAGGACCAGCATTTGTTAAATTCTTTTCTTTTTAGATTTATAATACTTTTGGGTTAAGGTTCCTTTTTCGAAAGAAAAATGGAACCAGTGTAGAAAGACTGCACATCCTAAACCAAACTTTGACATACAGATTCCCAATGCTTACATTCTTCATCACAAAAATTTTGAAGATGTACAAATGTAAAAGGAATGGGGAATTTCTAAGAGTTGAAGACATGTGGAATCTCTGGGTAGGGGGAAATCTCGATATTCAAAAGGCAGAGAAAAAGTAATAGCAATAAAATAAGGTATATGGTAATCTAGTGAAATTATTTAATTTGTACAAAAATACTGTGCTCACTGAAAGTGGCATCTACTGTCATTGACACGGGCCAGGCCTCACAAAACTTGGTATACCACAGAATGACAGAAACGCTGCTGAAGACTGTTAGAAGTTACTGGGGGTTGGGCCAGGGATTTAGCTCAGTGGTTCCACCGCCTGCCTCGCAAGCGCAAGGTCCCGAGTTTGTCCCCGGTACCAAAAAAAAAAAAAAGAAAGAAAGAAGAAGTTATGGGGGAAGCAGGGACTCTCCTGCAGAAGAGATTTTGTCAGTAAGGACAGGGATGAGTGCATCTATCTAAATGAGTGCATCTAGAAACTCTTGTTGTTTTCCACTAAGTCATAAACTCAATCTGGAGTCCTGGAACCCTGTCAAATTCCACGACAGCTACTTGGAATATAGATCACACTCTGTCCACACGCTCACAGTGAGATGAAAGTAATCAGAAAGAAAAAGCGTAAGCAGATCGTACTACCTGAAACGGTCTCCCAGTATTTGGTAAGTCAGCAGAAGCGACGTCTAGAACAGAGCCACAGCCACCGAACCGTTCATTTTGACAGCCATAGACGACCAGCGGGATTTATAGGACAGAATTAAGGTTCTGTAGGATTCACAATACTGTGTCGAAATTGGAATGGGTTGATACAAGCACTCCTGGAGAGGAAAGCTCGGGCCACACTTCAGAGCAAAGTTTGGGATTACTCTCTGAAATCATACAATGCAGTTACACAACAGGAAGAGGTCTAAAGCATTTCAAAATTAACCTGTAACAACTGCAAACAGAACAAAATTGAGTGCATAGCTGCTTAATGTTAACAGGTTAGTATGCGCTCTGCTTGTTCCTACATTACCTTTCAGAATCAGTAGAAAATAGGAGCCAGACGGGAGAAAGAAATCTAATTCAGGGATTTTCACCTTTTAAAAAAATCAGATTGTTGATCCCTGGTACCAAAAAAAAAAAAAAAAAAACAGATTTGGGGCTGGGAATTTAGCTCAGTGGTTCTGCCATCTGCCTCGCAAGCACAAAAAGTCCTGAGTTCAATCCCCAGTACCAAAAAAAAAAAAAGATTGTTTCCTGTTCCCACCCTACATAGAATTTAACCTTTGCTCTTGTACAAAACCCAAAAGGCAGCATGAGGAGAAAATTCTAAGTTGCCAAACATTCTTCTTTTATAAGTATATATTCCATTATACTCAATAACCTGTTATTTTTCAAGTGATAAAATTATTTGCATATAATTTTAAATGTACATTAAAATATAACTGTGAAATGGAGTTTTTGAGAATTCAAAAAAATATTGAGTGTACCCAGGGTTTATGTTGCTTATTCTTTGTAAGACAATAAAAAGAGCTATAACTTTATTAATTTGCCACTTATGTACAATTATGATACCATAAACAATATCTTTAACTTATTTACTTTAAAAAAAGCTTAATACTTTGTGATAGGTATTCACAGCAAAAACAAATAACAGCTAAACCCAGAAAATTTTAAATCACCCATAAACCATAATTTAAAGGCAAAATTTAGGTGCCTATTCTTCAGAACTTCTGTAAACCACTTTCACTTAATTTATGATTTGCTCTTTTATAGCAGTTTAAATTAGTTTGAAGCTTTTCTTTCCCTAGCTTGTTTAACAGTTCTATATTTATTGACATAAAAAGGAACAAGCTATGCTATTGTGTAAAATCTTCCCTGTTTTGATCAAGACATAGTCTATAATGAGTTTCCCAAGTTCGTGTTTTCATATATTAGAAAACTGCTGGGTGTAGTTCAGTGGTAGAGAGTATACTTAGTATGTGAGGCTTGGGTTTGGTACCACGGCCAAAAAAAGGAAATAAAATATGCTTTGCATTTGTCCAACTTCTTGTTCAGAGCAAAGTACAGAGCAAAGGAACTTACAAAGTCAAAGGATACTCATCAGGCGCAGAGCAGCTGCACACATAATGCACGGCTCCACCGTGACGTACAGCACCGTGTGTTCAAAGACCGCACAAGGACTCCGGCCGTTTTGGTGACACCAGTCCAGGACCTGATCAATGGCCACCATTTCTGCATGTCGAGTAGCCTTCAAAGAGAGATGCTCACACTGTTCATCTGCCTCTTATAACTGATATTTTACAAATACACAAACAAATATAAAAAGACATGCCTATCACTTCTGCCAACATTTTAATGAATGAGGTTTCAGCAGATCCTCAGCAGTGGACAGGCAATTCCCCAGTTCAAGTATCATAACCTCACCCACAGAAGATACCTACTTCAAGATGGCTTATAATAATGCCGGATTTTTAGTTAAATTCCTAAGGAGCTCAGGGGAAACTTTCCATTAAAATAACCACAGCCAGGTGTGGTGGCACACGCCTGTAATCCCAGTACTCAGGAGGCTGAGGCAGGAGGATTGCCATGAGTTCAAGGCCAGCCTGAATTACATAGCAAGACTTTGTCTCAAAAAAAAAAATCAATTAAAATACCACAAAGAAAAAAGATATCTAGGATTTCTGAACATTTTAGGGGAAGCTTGAAATTTTCATGAGCTTGTGTTCCAGTTTCAAATATATTTTCAAGGCTGTCACTGACCTCGCTCTAAGCAAACTATATTTAGTTTGCTGGGGGATGAAATATTTTATATGCTGGCAAGCTCTAAAGGAGCAGAGACTTGGTACATTAGTCTCAGTTACCTCATGGGAGTCAGTGTTCTCTAGGAGAAATCACACAGCATGTGAAATCAACCACATTTAAATCTGAATGCTGATAGGGACAATACTAATTACAGGGTGCTGGGCAAATTATCTAACTCCCTGAAGCCCTGTTTTCCCATATGAAAACAAAGTGCCCTGGGATCTACCCCTCTACACAAGGCAACTGGAATTACACGAAACAGTGCTGCAAGACTCCATGTGTATACTCTGTTACTTCTTCCCTGCCGCCTCTTGTAAAAATAGCTTACTGTGAGTCACAGATCTTCTATGCAACTACTTACAATATCCATTACAGAAGCATTTATCAATAATTTATGAGTGCTAATTATGTATAAGGCATTGTGCTAAATAACTCTGGGTAGGATAAAACATTTTCTGCCCTCAACAAGCAAAAAAAGAAAAGAAAAAAAAACAAGAAGTGGTGCAGCTAATAGAGGTGCTTGTTTTGTTTT